AACTATTGATGTTTGCTCTCGAGCGAGAGCGCAGAATTTCTCGTCTGTAAAAGCGGAAGTTGTAGCACTCTGGAACGTGTAGTAATATCGACCAACACGCGGTATGTGACTTTGAAATTACCTACCATGAGCAATGATGATGATAAATAATCAAATTATAGACTAATGAATGTTTTGTGCCGTAAAGAAGCCATATCTGCTGATTTTTCATCTACATGCATCTCGAAAGTTTTTCTCGAAATTTTTTCACATTTTTCACCTTTCTTGATCAATCATCTTGTATAAAGAGCTAAAAAAATGTAGGTTTATTTTGTCAAGTGACCGCCTAGAGCAAGAATTGCGTGACAGGTGTAGTTGAGAGAAACTTGTCACAGTCGCAGATTTTAAAAGGCATCCAAGACAAAAATACGGTAGCGCCCAAAGATTTTTTTGATGATTTTCAGATATGAAATGATGGGTTATAAAGGGTAATTAAGATAAGTGTTGCAGCTTTCTGGAAACGGGAGATATTTGACCTCAAAGTTGTCAAATATTTGGATGAATCGAAAAGTCTAAAAACACAGTCGTATATTTGCGTCTGTTGATTGACAAGCCGTCACTCAAACTGACTGATACTCGCAACAGACATTAACCAAGGATGTAAAAATATGTGTGCAAATCTTCAAAGTAATCGGTTGAATACCATCGCAGTGAGAGCTTCATACATTTTACCTATTTGAAGCGATTTCCTTGGTGAAAACCAAGAAAAACCGGGAAGTGGTCTATCTCCCCCCAGAAAAAACCAAAACAGAAACCAGTCTGCTTTTTCTGAGTTTTGGGGTAGACCCTTTAAACTGGTAAAGTTTCATTGAAATCGGTGAGATGGCATGTAGCACGACTGCCCGGTGCTCTCGTGGACACGCTCTTAACATATCTGACACCTGTGACTCATTGAACGTAAGGAACTAAAATATTCATGCTGAAATTTTGCTTTGCATTCTGCATTGAGTTCTTCATCCCGTTCAAAATAATATTCTCATCATGATTAATGGAAGTAATGGCGTAGCAGTCAAGAGCCGGATTCAAATGTACATCAGGGTGGTCTCGACCTCTTAATTAAAGTCAATTGAGACAAGATTGAACTCCATTTAACCTCATTTAACCTTAGAGTGTTGAGTTCTTTTTATTATTATTATTATTATTATTATTATTATTATTATTAGTGTTATTATTATTATAGTACAGCTAACAAATCTAACCTCTCACAATTGCCTTAAGGAAAGTTGGATTTAACTCAATGGCTGCTTCTGCATCCCTTAGTGAATCCTGGTGATTTCCTGTTATTGAAATAAATATCTCTGATTAGCCATACATGTTGCAAACCAACTACCATTACTATAGCAGGTCGCTCTGACGAAGGGCTAACGCTCGAAACGTCAGCTTTTTTACCCTTTACGGTGGCTAATTTACGTTTTCAACCCAGTTGTTAACACTTAATTACCTGCTATACTCTCCCACCGACGCAGCACCACAGTTTCTTTAGAAACTTACCCCTTTATTCATTTACCATTACTATAATTTTGGGAAAAACTTGTGATGCTCATTGATATCTGGGGTAAGTGGTTACTTATTTGTATATTTGAGAGGCCAAGATAAGATGTAAATTTTTCCGGGCATGTATTCAAAATCATCACCTTTTTCAGAAAACTACTACTGACAACTCAATAGCTTCAAAATAGAAAAAAAATGCATATTAAAGCTCTCATTATCTTACCAAGTTTAGAATGTGCAATAGCCCTGTTGTTGTGCAGTTTGGCTTTCAATTCTTTGTCATTGCAGTTCATTTTAATTCCTTTGGTGTAAAAATGAATAGCATTGATGAAATCTCCTTTCTTGAAGGCCTCATTACCCTCATTCCCATAAAATCAGCTATGGCTGCAAAGAAAAAATAAAATAATTCGAAAAAAAATTTAAAAATGGGTGTCAAAGTCTGTGGTCGTAGTTAATAATTATTCGTGTACAGTCAGCTGCCAAGATCTGGAGATTTAAAATCTGCAGATTTTCAATAGTTATGATGATGCTAACAATGTAGGTGACAACATGGGTAAGAATAATGATGAGAATTATAAGCATCACTTAATTCGAGGCAAACCCCTGGAGATGAGAGATTTTGGAGACAGGTTTCCTAAAATTCCTATTCCCTGGGAAAAATTAATAAAATGTTCAATTGCCCCACACAATCTTATGTAAAAGGCGAAATAATTAGCAATTTCGCTTTCAACTAATTGATCAAGCTTTAAAAACTAATTGACCAAGCTTTAAAACCTAGACCTTGAAGCCTTATTTCTTCTGAGCCATTTGTTAGTGAAAGTACACTATCTGCCTTAAACACCTCCATATTCAATGATAATTAACACTTGTACTCTTCTGGAAATTAGATGTGACAGTTTTTATTCAAATTCCCTAACGCCAGTCAGGCAGGGTTAAGCCCCCGCTCACCCTCTTTGGCTTGGATGAAGATCAAATGCCTGTGGGTTGCTCGAGGAGAAAGGAGGGAATGTTGAAGGTTTCAAAGTGATTATGTTTCATTAAAATAGAAAGATGATGGTGATGACGATGATGGTACCTATGATGCAAACTTACAATGGATTTTATATGATGATCAAATAAAGTCTTAACTTATTATAACTTTGTGTTATTGCTTTGAACTGTTAGAAAAGAAAATAGCAAAAGTTTCTGTGTCATAGATCTTCTCAATGAACAGCATATTATAATCATAAAAGAGAGTCACGACTGGCCAAATATCCTTTAAAGTGGTCATACAGTGTATGTATCCTTTTCCACATCTGCTTGCATTCTTGAAACTGATCGAATAGAAATTGCTCTAACAATAACTGAAGCCGAAGTTGAATCTAGCTCACCTCGTAAAGTGTCCTCGTCAAAATCTGGTGCATTTTCTTTGTCAGGTAAGTCTTCATTTTCACATGGAACTTTGATTGAACTTCTTCCTGTAGCCATAGCAACTGTAAGAAGACTGATGCTTCCTAAAAAGTTGTCCTTTTAAGTCATCCTGGCCTGAAAAAAAGGTGATTGAAAATGGTTGTAAACATCAGTTCAACATATTACCCAGTAGCAAAATAAATATTTCCCTTCTGAGAATGGGAGGGATACATAGACACAAAACCAGAAGCCAGTAAAGAGCTAATGTCAACATGCATCAGACAAACAGCGGCAAGTCGCCTAATTTCGTTTTCTCTCCTACTTTCATATTTTATTTTGTAGCCCAATATGTCCCGATAGTTGTGGTGTAGGTTTTTTGTGAAAATATATTTTAGTTTTTGAGAAATGACTTTTTTTCGTTCGACCGCTCAAATATGCAAATTTTCACTCTGAATATTACCCGAGTTGTGTGACCTCATGTAACGAATTTACTTGACCTCCGGTATTTCTGTTGACACAATCCTTTGTTTTATCATCTAAACTTAATCCCCTGACATTATTGAGGCTGGCACAAAAATATTTATTTTTATCATTATTTTCTATGTCGAAAAGTAGCATCAAAACAAAGACAGTTTTAACAATGACCAAT